GGAGGGGGAAGCAGGGGCAGGAATTGAGGAGGGAGGAATGAGCTCAGAGGTGACATTTAGGATCAAAGTGGGGATAGCTGAGCATTGCAGGAAGGAAGACAGTGCTGTTGTCAGAGCAAAAAGTTGGGAAATCTGTGGCAATATGAATGAGAAAGAAGGAATGCAGAAATATACAACAGCATGATAACTGGGGATGTTGGAGGGGTTGCTGAGGACATTATCAGGGTTTGGGGAGAAGGGAACAGAGGTTTAAGGCAGCAGCTCTGAGCATGAATCTGCCTGCTGTCTGAAACTGTTGTGGAGGTAATATCTGTGCTCCCCTCTGAGGACTTGGATGGATCTCACCTTAGGTCAGAATGCAGAAGGTATTGGTGACAAGTATGGGTCCTGCCTAGGAGGTCAGCTCCTGCCCTGGTGCTGCCCGAAAAAAAAGACTCAGCTGTTATCCATCAGCTGGTCCAGAGGAGCTCTGAATGAAACAGAATGAGCAGATAACAGTGGAGAATATATTAGTTGGGAGAAACAACCAAAGAGTGGATAGAAGATGCAAGAGTGGATGGAGTTGGAGGCCACACAGCTTCAGAAGTGCTGAACAGGACTCAGAGATCACAGAAAGCTGAGGTTGGAAGTGGGCATGGCCCAGAGGAGTTCCCCTGCCCAAGCAGGGTCAGTAGAACTGATCATCCAGGACACAATCCAGTTGTTCTTTGGGTATCTGCAAGGATGGAGGCTCCTCAGCCTCTCCAGGCAATCTGTTCCAGTGTTCTACTCTCCCCACTGAAAAAAAATATGTATATATATTCTCTGATGTTTAAACAGAATTTTCCCTATTTTAATTTATGCCTTAACTTTGGGCACAGACTGTGGGCAATGTTGCTGATGCCAGAGATATTAAATTAAAGCCAAAAACAAGCAGTCACAGCCCCAGACAACATGCGTAAACGCTTTGCTGGCAGGGGATGCACTGAACAAACACCACCAGCAACAACGTTATTCCGTCACGTCGGAGTTTGCTTTCCTTGTGATTCCCCTCTCTGGGCTTGGAAAGGGTGGATGAACTCATTTCCCTGGGACAATATGCCAACAGTTACTGAGCCTTACAGAGTCACTGATTGGTTTTGGCTACGCTACTGGCCCATCACCAGCAGCACAAGGACAGAGCCCACTGCATCACACTTCAGCAATAGTGACGGTGGAGACAAACACTCTGCTGTCATGACACCATGCTCCCTGAACTGTTTCCTCACCCCTGAACTGGGCACAGTGTATACATGGCAGAAATAAGCAGATGGTGCAGCTGAGCTGTCCTCGTAAAGAAGTGTCTGTTTAAGGAACTTTTGGCTTCCCATGGAATCATCTCTTCTTTGAAATCTTTGAAACTGATATCCACAAACCAGATGGACACCGTAACTGCTGCAGAACAAAGTCCTGCAAGGTGTTGTCTTGCTGATGGTGGTCAGGCTTACGCTGTGGAGATGCATTTTCCTTCATTTACAGGACCATAGCTCTTGCTCCTCAGTAAGCAAATGCTCTGGACATTTTTACTGATCCTGATAGTGATAGCAAAGGCGGAATGGTTTAAAAATCCAAGAGGGGAGATATAGGTTAGATGGGAAGAGGAAACTATTTACTCACGGGCTGGCCAGGAGGAAAAAGGTGCAGGCAGTTGAGAAAGACTAGAAAGTTTTCCATGTCTCCAGCTCCAGTATTCAGGCTGTTTTCAATTTTGTCTTCAGGTTTTTCTGCTTAACCATTCAGCGACCCATTTGTACATAATTTTGTGAATGACAGCTAACATCTCCACGTAACCCTTGGACTCCAAAAGCTGCAGCTGTAAAAGAAATGCCAAGAAAGCTACAAGTCTGAGGAATTAGCTTCCCTTCCTGTGCAAAGAACAGGTCAGAAAACCCTCTTACGGCACAGGGGCACATGGTGGGTTTTAGTGAGCTGGAGTTAAGCTCAACCAATCAGCCCCAATGGAGCTATCTGTCACAGGGCTGTTAGCACAGCCTCTCCTGCACTCTTTATTAATTTGATGTGTCCCTGTGGCGGAAGCAATCTGTTTTGCCATGTCTCTGGCTCCAACTCTGCCAGCCTTGGAGCTCACCTCTCCCTTTGGCCAGGAGGGATGTGGCTGTCATGGCAGGTGAGAGATTGTTGATTAGGATGACATTTGGCTTGGTAGTTCCTGTAGGCTGATAAGGTTGCTTGTTTATTCACAGCTAAATCCACAGTGGGACTTCTGTGATGTTACACTGTTGTACCCACGCGCTCTCTGCCGGTTGCTCCATGGCAGGTCAATGGGTGCCCCACAGGAGGTGTGAAGCCAATGCATCACATTGCTGAAGACCTGCAGCAGGACAGGAGGGAGCATTTGTTTCATGGAAGAGCCTCGTGGTTAGGACACGGCTTTGAATCCTCTCAAGGGGAGGGAACACAATGTGGGTCTCACATCCTGGAAGTGCTTCATGGCTGCTGTGCCATGGGTTAAGCTGCTGAGCTCTACTTCACTCTGCAGTCGCCCTTCCTGGTGGAATGCTTCCAAAGCACAAAGCAGAGGAACAGTTGGATCTGTGCACTGAACACCTCTTGAGCAAGGCTGAGTCCCCAGAGCTGGGTGGAATAGACAGGAGAGATGGCACCAGGGGAGTTTAAGGTTAAATCCTATGGGGTTCAGTTCCAGCTGCCCTCAATTCAGGAGTGTCAAGGAACATGATTTTGGACTTAAGTGCTTAATTTTTGCTCACTTTGATTACATCTGGTGACTTGGAAATATCACCATTCTTATTCCACACAAAACTGAATCAGCAAGAAAGCACTGGAACTAATCTCTGAGATTTTGTTTTATTTTTTCCATTTGTATTGCTCCTCAAAGTCATGGGACCCCAGGGAGGACACTTTCTCATGTCTGTTTATTTTTCTCCAGTAATGCACTGTGTAGGCATGTTGTTATGTGTATTTTGACACTGCAGATTCTCCTTCACATTACCACTGTGACTGTGTGCACTGAGGTGCTGAGCAGCTTCTGATCCCATGCATGATGATGGAAGTGCTAGTTGGTGAAAACAATTCCGCACCAAAAACAAGTGTGTTCTTGAGAGCATGGGCTATTAAATATTCCTCCCTCCTTCTCTCCCTCCTTCTCTCCCTCCTTCCTTCCTTCCTTCCTTCCTTCCTTCCTTCCTTCCTTCCTTCCTTCCTTCCCTCCTTCCCTCCTTCCCTCCTTCCCTCCTTCCCTCCTTCCCTCCTTCCTCCCTCCCTCACTCCCACCAAGAAGAACCTTGTATATAAAGCGAACAACTAATATTTGCATGTGTTCCAGCAGTGCTGTAAGTTTTCCCTTCTTGTAGGCTGGTGCTTGACAAGTTGCTTGGAGACATGCAGAAAGCTTCCCCTTTGACAGCAAAGGGAAAGGCACCTTTTAAGGCAGGTGAATGGAGAGCTGCAGTTACAATTACAGCTCCACAGTTTCCATCCATGTAAATATTTGTGATAGTTCAAATATTTTCCTCTTCCCATCTGGGTGAAATCCTAGCTTCAAAGCTTTGGGGTTTATTAGCACTAAACAAGAGATCCAGAAATAGCTCAGCAGTCATTTACATGGGCAGCAGTTCTTGCTCTGCTCTGCTTTCTCTAAATGCAGAGTTGGACCTTTCTCACACCACGAGGTGCCTGGACATAGACTAATGGCCATGCAGGTGTTTTCCTTTTTCCCACTCGAGCTTTGCTTGCTGGTTGTTCTGTCTTAACTGGGTACAACAGGACATATTTCACTTTTCTTGAAGAGCTGTTTAGCCAAATTTCCCAAGCAGTTCTGGTTTCAAAAGCACCTAAAATGACAAACATCTTTTCTGTTAACATTAATCTTTGACATACCTATTTTTAACACTGCTGCAGTTCTGAACACTGCTATCTTTTGTAAGAAAGACATGCAGAAGTATCTCCTGGATACTCTTTATCCTCATCCTGGATTGCCACCTAGCTGCAGCACTTGGACTTGCTGCTGGCTTCACGACTGCAAACAGCTTTGGCCTTGAGCTGATGTTTCACCGTGTCTTTCTTGGCTCCAACTTTCCTGCACAGAAAGGAATCTGCCATGGCTACTTCGTAATTTCTCCAATCACACATATCATAAAATATAGTGACACAAACAACCCACAAATCTCTTTAAGGTGATCAGAGGGCTGGAGCACCTCTCCTATGAGGAAAGGTTGAGGGAACTGGGCTTGTTTAGCTTGGAGAAGGGAAGGCTGCAGGGAGACCTCATTGTGGCCTTCCAGTACTTGAAGGGAGCATATAAACAGGAGGGGGAATGGCTGTTTATGAGGGTGGATAGTGATAGGATAAGGGGGAATGGTCTGAAACTGAGACATGGCAGGTTTAGGTTGGATATGAGGAGGAAGTTTTTCACACAGAGGGTGGTGAGGCACTGGAACAGGTTGCCCAAGGAGGCTGTGGATGCCCCATCCCTGCAGGCATTCAAGGCCAGGCTGGATGTGGCTCTGGGCAGCCTGGGCTGCTGGTTGTTGACCTGCACACAGCAGGGGGTTGGAACTGGATGACCACTGTGGGCCTTTGCAACCCAGGCCATTCTGGCTTGAATTCTGGGTTGATTCATCCCCATTGGACGGGGCCCTGGGCAGCCTGGGCTGGTATGAAATGTGGAGTTTGGTGGCCCTGCGTGTGGCAGGGGGTTGGAGATTCGTGATCCTTGAGGTCCCTTCCAACCCGGGCCGTTCCGTGATCCTGTGATTTTACCATCTCACAATCACACTTTGCATTTAGGAAGGGCATCTTTGGCAACAAAGCTTTCGTCGTTTTATTTTGACATCTCAGGCCGAGCTGTGGAGCACCAGGAAAGGACAGATCCTCTCCTAGTCGGACCTCCACCCCCAGCCCTAAAGCGCACAGCGCCCTCACACCCCCTATTCCCCCCTCACTCCCATCAGTGCCGCCCCCCTCCGAACTCTCGCGAGAGCTGAGGCACTTCCCGCTTTCTCCCGGTCCCGCCCTTCCTCTTCCGCCGCCGCTCCGAGGTGAGCAGCTGTGGCGGCTTGCGGGGCTGCTGCAATCCGGTCCCATCTCGCTCCATCCCGCCGCGGGGTGCTATGGAGGGGCGTGGAGGGATGCGGGGTTGTTCGGTGTTCTCGGTACTGGCGGGGTTGGCGATGGCGGAGGGGCCGAGGGGCGGTAGTGGGCCGCAGAGGGCCGCGGGGCGGCAGAGGGCCGCGGGGCCGCAGTGGGCCGCTGAGGGCCGTGGCTGCGGTGATGACTCTCTTAGGACACCTTTGAATTGAATTGTGAAAAGAAATGTGACCTCTGAGCAGCTCCTCGGGGTAGGGCACGGCGGTGAGGTGCGCAGTCTGCCTTCTGCTTGCCTTACGGTGTTTGTCGCCTTTTTTTTCTGCTGCAGCTGAGCTCCAAAGATGGTGCGCTACTCGCTGGATCCGGAGAACCCCACTAAGTGTGAGTGCTGCTCCGTGTGCATTCCCATAGGGCTGTAGTGGGGCATCCGTCTCATGCCTTTTGTCTTTTCTCTTTGCAGCATGCAAGTCCAGGGGCTCCAACCTGCGTGTGCACTTCAAGGTACGTGGTGTGGGTATGACACCAAATGCTCATTTTTGAAGGAAATCAGTTTTTTAGTGTGGTTGATGTAGGTTATGGCCTGCGTGACTCCGCATCATTGTAATGTTACGGAGGTGAAAAGAAGTTTAGTTGACTTTGCTTTCCTCTTTTTTAAAAATAGCACACTGAATGCAGAGCACCTAAAGCACTGATACCTTATCCCTGCTGTTTTTTCTTCTTTGCCTCTTTTCTCTTTTCCCCTTTTTAATTCCCTTATATAACTATTAGGTTTTCTAGCTTGTATTTGTAGCTTGTGCTCTTGTGAGAGCTTTCTGTGAGATTCCATATCAGACAGAATCATAGAATGGCCAGGGTTGGAAGGGACCTCAAGGATCATGAATCTCCAAGCCCCCTGCCACATGCAGGGCCACCAACCTCCACATTCAGTACTAGACCAGGCTGCCCAGGGCCCCATCCAACCTGGCCTTGAGCACCTCCAGGGGTGGATGGGGCATCCACAGCCTCTCTGGGCAGCTGTTCCAGCACCTCACCACTCTCATAGCAAAGAACTTCCCCCTGACATCCAACCTCAATCTCCCCTCCCCCAACTTAAAACCATTTCCCCTTGTCCTGCAGTTATCCACCCTTTCAAAGAGTTGATTCCCCTCCTGTCTGTAGGCTCCCTGTAGGTACTGAAAGGCCACAATGAGCTCACCTTCTTTTCTCCAGGCTGAACAAGCCCAGCTCCCTCAGCCTCATTACAGTTTAACATGCATTGATTACTCAGGCTCCTGTTTTTTGGAATAGTGGCCAAAGAGGGAGCTGTGATAAATATAAGTACTCATGTTTCTGATTGAGAAACTGTAGCCATGGGCTGAAAAACAAGGAAGGCATGATGGAGCTAGCTGTAAGCTCAGTAGTAGAGTTCAGACTAAGAATTGTAGATAGCAAAGGATAGTATAGTTTTCCTTTTTTTTTTTTTTGTTTGTGGACTTGTTTTGTTTTGTGTATTTCTTTTGGACTGAATTTATGGCAGAAATGAAACTGTCAAAGGGAAAGATGGTTGCTCCAAGAAAGAGGAACAAGGGACAAGTGGTTTTAAATCACAGAATCTTAGAATGGTTTGAGTTGGAAGGGACCTTAAAGGCCACGTGATCAAACAGGGGCACCTGCAACAGCGGTGCACCCACCACCTCTGGGTAGCCTATGTTGGTGCTTCACTGCCTTTACTGCAAAGAGCTTTTTTCTTATATCCAGTCTCACTACTCTGTTTTAGTATGAAACCATTTTCCCTTGTCCTGTCACAACTCCTGTTGTAATTTGGGAAAGAGCATTAAAAGGAGCTATCACTGTGCATTTTAGAACACTCGTGAGACTGCCCAGGCCATCAAGGGCATGCACATCCGCAAGGCCACCAAGTACCTGAAGGATGTGACCCTGAAGAAGCAGTGTGTTCCCTTCCGTCGTTACAACGGAGGAGTTGGTCGATGTGCCCAGGTGAGGATGGAGATAGGAAAATGTGGTACGGGTGCTTTGGGTACACTTCTTACAGTAGAGATAAAAGGTGACATTCAGACTGCATGGAGAGGATCAGTCGTTGGTGATAATCTATGAAAGTGTGAGTCGGAGAACTGTTGATTGAGATTGCTGTGACGACTTTCTTAGGACACCTTTGGATTCAACGTGAAAAGAAACTTGTATTCTGAGCAATCTTATTAAAAGGGCATGTAACAGGAAGTTATTGGCATGGACAGGTCAGCTACTGGAACCAAACCAGAACTCTTTTTCTCATAGGCCAAGCAGTGGGGCTGGACACAGGGACGCTGGCCCAAGAAGAGCGCGGAGTTCCTGCTGCACATGCTCAAAAACGCAGAGAGCAATGCCGAACTCAAGGTAGGCTGGGTAGTGTTACTAACTGAAATCTGTTCTTGTGAAACTGTTCTGCTGAGCTCAGTGGCTCAAACAAAAAAGTGAGGATCTGCTCTGTAGTTGAAAGCATGACAAAGAAGATTTTGTTTACTGTTTGTTTGAATTGTGCTGTGTTAAATTACAGTGAGTGATACTTTTTCAGGTAGTTCGTGGAGAGTTATCTGATGCATGCTTCTTCTAAGTATTTCATCTCTTAAAATCCACAGAAAACAAGAACTGTAGACTCAGGGTCAGCTTTGCTATTTGTCTTTGCTATGTGTTCAACACTTTATTTGGCAGCTTTGATGGCAGTGATGACTATCTTAGGACACCTTTGGAATAACCATGAAATAACAACTTTTTTTCTGAGCCATCAGCATGAGGTAGCTTCATTGTGACGTGTAGAAGGGTATTGTTTTTCTGATCTTGGTTTGTCCCTGCTACGTAAAATACTCAAACTGAAATCCATATAATGTGCTGCAGGGGGGCGGTTATTCTTGTTTGTATGCTGCAGAGATTATTGCAGGGAGAAGTAAGGCACAGTGTTTAATTTTTCCCCCCCCAGGGTCTCGATGTGGATTCTCTGGTGATTGAGCACATCCAGGTGAACAAGGCTCCCAAAATGCGCCGGCGCACCTACAGAGCTCATGGGAGAATCAACCCCTACATGAGCTCCCCCTGCCACATTGAGATGATCCTCACCGAGAAGGAGCAAATTGTTCCCAAGCCAGAGGAAGAAGTTGCTCAAAAGAAAAAGGTAGAAAGCATCATGTTCTTAGTGTCTTCTCTCTCACTTCTTAGTGTTATTAAGAAACCTGAACGTGAGCAGGCAAAGGGGTTACTATGATGACTTATCTTAGGACACCTTTGGAATACCCATTGAATAAAAAAGTTATTACCGAGCAACCTCAGTGTTAAATACAGTAGTGAGAATTGGTAAAAACTCTTATCAGTAATATATATTGCAGAAGTGATTTGCTGATTTTTTTCCACTGAAGTAGTTGTAGCATTCAGATGTTTTCTGTAAATACAGACCCACAGAATGGTGGCTCCATGGGGAGGCCAGAGTGTTGAAAAATGATTTGTAACATGATTTGGAAAAGTATCCATTTTCATTGTTTTGTTTCTTCAGATATCCCAGAAGAAGCTGAAGAAGCAAAAGCTGATGGCTCGGGAGTAAATCTGACACAAATGATGTACATAAATAAAGTTAAAAAAAAATAATTTGTTGTGTGGGCTTGTGCTGTTTGAGGGACGTTCGAGTGCTCAGCGCATCCTTGGGACACAATTCATGGTGGTTCCCCCACTGGCGGTAAAGTACTGACATCAGAAAGCACCACACTCCCAAAACAAAGCTGCTTATGGTGTGGGAGTGTTTCTAACCACAAACCAGGAAGTCCCAGCAGTGACGACGCACGCTTTATACGTCATTTCTGTGAGGCGGGGCCACGTGAGGTGCTCACTACCTCTGATTAGGTGCAGCCGACTGTGCGCATTTGGGGAAGTGTGGTGGTTATTTTTAGTGTGGCTGTAGCAGAGCTGCTGAGGTGAGTGTGGTGCTTTTTCGGGTTTTGTTCTTGGTGTTGACCTAGCCAAAGGTTCCTGGGGGTTGTTTTCCTAGTTGTCTCTTGTCCCTTTGGTCGTAGCCAGTCTCTAGCTGGGAGCAATCTGTGCAGGAAGCAGGAGCTGCTTGTTTTCAGCACCTGTTGGAGCAGAGCTTCGCTTGTTCTGAGGCTCTCTGTTCTTCAGCTGTTGTGTCTGTACTCACGAGGGTGGAATGCAGCTGACAGCAGTAACTCAGTGGTTTAACAGGAACTGGGAAGATTCTGGGAATGTTCCAGCTTTAGCACCAAGACAGAAGAGGGCCACATTGCACAACTAAGCCCTCCGTATGCATAACCTTTTTTTCTGTTTCCATAGAAATAGTTGGTTAACAATAGAATTAAACATGGGAAACAAAGATCCAGTGTGTTTTAGTGTCATGCTTGTTCTTTCTGCTGATTTGAACGTGTGGTGGCTTAGAGACAAACAAAAGCACGTTTGATTAAAAAAAGGAAGCTTGCTATTAAAATTTCACCCTTTGCCACTTTATTACTTTTTCTTTCTGAAAATTAATTGCTTTTCCCCCAGGTCCTACGGCATCATGAAATCATGTAAGAAACTTGGAAATAGTATTTCAATATTTTAGGACTGTAGTTTTAGTTCTAGTGGCTTTCCTCTGCATCTAACACAGCTATTATTTGTCTGAATGTGAAATGACTGCAGACAGACACTCAGTGTTGTCTCTTAGAGACAACCTATGTAATTTGCTCTAGGTGCGTTCTTCAGCTAGTGGATGAATACTCAATTCCTTTTGTCAATGGTTTACGGGCTGGGGTTCGGCCCAGTTCTGTGACTAGCAGGAAGGGGGGGGATGGACCCAGGGACCCGTGCACCCACGCCCCGGGAAAGGGGGAAAAGGGTAGGGAGATGAGCCTAAAAACAAAACAGTGGCAGTGATCTGAGGAGAAACAAACTAATTTACTAAATTAAATATCGGAATGCAAGATAGAACACTGTAATACACTATAATAGAATATAATTAGAATTGAAGCTAATAAATCAAATAAAATGAGAGAGAGCATTCAAAAACTGAAGACCTTACTCTAAGTAAGCTGAAGCCATGCGGCTGGGAGCAGAGACAAGCCAGAAGATCAAAAGGGGAGGTCAAGTGATCTACGAATGATTTTTATCTTTCCCTCTGAGCAGAAACGGTAACAGAACAGTAAACAGTCCTCTGGGGAATGTAGTTCTTCTTCACTTCTGAGACAGGTACTCAGAACTGGAGCATTAACTCTTTAACTCCCAGTGTACTACATGATGTTATGATGTGGAATACTGATAACAAAAATCACAAAACCATGACACCCGTAAGAGATGGAACACCTGTCCTACAAGGACAGGATGTTTAGTCTGGAGAAGAGGAGGCTCTGAGGTGATCTGATAGCAGCCTTTCAGTATCTGAAGAGGAGATATAGGAAAGAAGGGGACAGACTTTAGCAGTGTCTGTGGTGACAGGACAATGGGAAATGGCTTCAAACTCAGGGAGGGTAGGTTTAGGTTAGATATAAGAAAAAAAGTCTCTTACAGTGAGAGTGATGAAACACTGGGACAGGTTGTCCAGAGATGTGGTGGATGCCCTGTCCCTGGAGGCTTTCAAAGCCAGGCTGGACCAGGCCCTGGGCAACCTCATATAGCTATGGTATCCCTGTTCATTGCAGGGGAGTTGGACTAGATGACCTTTAAATGTCCCTTCCAACTTTAAGGATTCTATGATTCTAACACTTCTGAGATCTCATACTTCAGAGATCTGGCAGAGAGTGCATAAATCTTTTCAAGTGTCTTTAATGGATAGTTGTCTCATTCATATTTTCCTAATGTAAGATTCCTTCTAGCTTCAGAGGTCATCAGCTCCTATACAGCTACATTTGAAATGGGCAGAACTGTGGGAATACAAGAAAAACTATTCAGAGCAGCAGCTGTGAAGCAAGATAAACAGCATGAGAACCAAGGACACCTCTAGAAGAAGAGAAAAAGGAAAAGGAATGGCTCATGGATTTGATTGGATAAACGCCTGCATGCACAGTTATAGAGTGTTTGTGGAATACTCTGTTGACATGTAAAGGTAGATGGGAAGGTTGTAAGGACAGATAGGAAAGCTAAAAAAGGAAACTTTTGAATGTGTATAAGTGATGTGAGAACTTGTAATAAATTATTTGAATCGTTCACATCGGAGTCCGTGCATCAGATGCTGCAAATGGCACCCACTGCATGGAGCAAATCAAGCTGAGGCTGAACGAGCTCGGTCTGGCAGTGCCGCCCAACTGAACTACTGAGAGATTATTTTGTGCGCGCCCGCACCGTTCTGCAGGAGAGAAGGTGAGCAGTCAGGAACTATGGGGAGTTCACTAACGAAGGAGCAACAAGTAAAATCTCCAAGTTCTATGGAGAATTTTAAAGTTTCAGAATCGACCTTTATCTACCTCAGCGTTAGTTGCTTTTCTTGATTGGATAAGAAAATATGTCCCTGAGTTTTCGAGGACTGGGTTTTCTTTTGACGGGGCAGTTTGGGACAAAATTGGCACAAAACTCTGGGAGGCTTCTACTACTGCATACAAAAGGGGTGCTAAGGATTTACCTGTTTGGAGTCAAATATCGGAAGGGCTTAAACAAATTCGACAAGGAAGTATTTCTTCCGACTTCCCCATCGCCCTCCCACCCCCGCCACTGCCCCTCGGCGCAGAAAGCAGCCCCTGCCCGGACCCGACCCGCGGCTCCAACCCCACCCCCGGCCGGGGTGAAAAAAAACGCGACCTCCTGCTGCGCTGCCGCCCTCCGCCCCGCCCCCGTCACTCGCTGCTCCGCTGCCGCCCTCCGCCCTGCACAGGTCGCTTGTTGCTGTGTCTCTGCCGCCCGCATTTAACTTCGTTAAAGATAAGGATGAACCGGAACCAGAGGATCTTTTTGATCCTGGTCGATCCGGAGGACGAACCGAACCTTTTCCCTCCTGACAATAATTTGAAGGGAGCGGGAAGGATAATTTTTTCTACAGTGTACTATGGTGCTTTAGAGCAGTGCAGAAAAGAAGCAATATTAAGGGGTGATGCTGATACGTTGCAAGCCTTTCCTGTGTTGTATCGTGCAAATCAGCCCTCCCGGTGGGAATCCCTGCCTTATGAGGCAATAAAGGAGCTAAGGAAGTCAGTGAGAGATTATGGAATTCAGTCTGCCTTTACATATAATCTTTTGATTGCAATCGGTGACAGATACGTTATGGCCCCTCACGACTGGAAAATTTTGTTATGAACAATTCTGTCTCCCACTGTGTTTATGACTGAATACCAAGAACAGGCTTCCATCCAAGCTATGAATAATTTGAATAACTTAAATCATATTGGCATGGAAAAACTCATGGGGAGGGGGTCTGGGCAACACCTCAGGCACAGGCGCTAATGGATAGGCTATGCCTTGAACAAGTTAAGGCTTTGGTGTTGCATACTATCCGTCGGATACCTGATACTGTTGGAAATATCCAAATAATTTTGTCAGGACGGTATCTCTGATAAAAGCAGATTTTATTCGCGATTGCAATGGCGGGCGTCCCACAAGCAGGAGAGGCCCTAAGGCCACAACAGCTTTTGTACCTTGTTTCCCCCCTTGCCTATTGTGGGAATGGAATGTTGTTTCTGCATTTGATATTAAAAAGTAGCAATTGGTTTGAAGAAGTA